GGAGGGATGGAGACAAGGGCCAGATAAAGGAAAGGTAAACGCTCCCTGGGGCCAAAAATGGGCTGGAGGAAAAGAGGCGCTGGGAAAGGTGTGGAGCTTTCGGCTCCACCTGATATTGGTAGATGCCAGGTATAGGACCAAAGGTTCAAGTAATCTTTGGCTGTGGTAAAGGATCTACTTAAGGCGCCAAAAAGGCATCTAAAAAATAAAACACGTCCCGAGAAATTGAAATGGGGTCCGAGGATTTAACAGATTCCCGGACCCAAAACCAGGGCCCCTAATGGCGATGAAGGAGAGCCCCTCGGCTCAAAGGGCTCCTAATGCCACGATGTGGCCCTCTACTGGGTACACCTCGAGGGGGAAACGGCGAACAGGGTTCGGTTGTAGTTTCTGAAATACAGGCTGGGTTACAGGGCAGCCGTGGTGTAGAAGTTAACCATTGCTAAAGAAACTCAATCAGTAACAAGATTAAACTCAGACCCAAGGCCAACTTCACAACACCAGCAAACAATTCAAGTATAATAACTTCACTAATTCGTTATACAACTGCTCCTTGAATACCATAACTTGACTTCTCCGAGATTGGTTGTTTTACAAGTCGTGGACGGATAGGAAATTGAATGCGAGTCGTGTGCCACTTCCAAACTAAGGATGACAGCGCATTGCGGAAAAACAGCGAGAGTTGATTCTCTCCCTGACAAGAAATGCATAATAAAGGCTTCGAGTGATACACGTCACAAAAGGCCAGCGAGATCTGCCAGTATGATATGATGTACCACCTGGTTGCCGTAGATGCGTTGAGCCAGCACCGCGCTTTTTCCACAGACAAAGTGTGTGGCGTGGCGCGTCAAGTCATTGTGTAGAACACATGATATTCCTGCAATGCCTTGAAACAAAACTTGTGACGACGATCTTTATCTCTTTGCCAACCAGTTTGCAGAAGTGATGTTTCGATGTGGTCTTGTTGCCACTGGTACAGCATACTGATGGCATAAATGTGCAGTTTTTGAAAAGCCAGACAGTCGCTAATAAAAGGGGGAAACAGTGGCCTTTATATCTAATATCACGTAGGAAAACACCTACCTCCCAGCATGATCGGGTCTTGCACGCTATGCCATGGTGGGCAACACAACACTACAACCATGAGATTCCTTGACGCGGGAATGCACCTGCAGCAGTATCGCACCGCACACCAGTATCTAGCCTGCACTCGCCAATCGCCATAATGCGTGGTGTAAGACCTCAGCTGTTCAGCGCTCGATGCGCCGCTGGGAGTGCCCAAGCCGGGTAACAGGCCGTAGTGCTGTACCTGGAAAGGGCGCGTGGCACCACAAACTGGTTAGTTGGTCAAAGATTCAGTTGGACGGCGCGACCTGTTTCGTGTCAGAGACTTGTAGGGGGTAATCTGAGGCTGGTGTGCTTTTCCGCACACCGTGTGCTACCGCTTGAGCAGGTTTTTTTTCAATTTCAATGGCGGCATCATCAGCTGTTTTGCGTCAGTAAATCTGTAACCGGTGGCTTCAATAATTTTGATTGATAGCGTGCCGAAATAATAAATATAAGCACATGCACAAATAGCCGCGACACAGGCTCCACCAATTTTTGATCATAAAACTAGCAACTATCTCAGATAGTCTAGTTGAAGCTTAACTTTTTTCATAGCCGAGGCAGGGCCGGGGCATAACAGCTAGTTGCGTATAATTTTCGCTTTTTCCAAGCAAGAACTTTGAGGGACTCATAAAAACGCTTCAGATTAAGCAGGCAAAGTTTCACGACTGTTTGAAATGCCGTGGACATACAACTTGCGATGATACCCTTATGACATCAGAAGTTTGCATGCATGTTTGCAAAGTTTGCGGGCAATGAATGGCGATAACTACTTGATGCCGTTAGCCTCAGACCGACACTTCCTATGCGAATGAACCTAAAACTACCCTTACTGTTACGCCACTTGTCGAACCCGCACAAAAACGTTCGTACTGCATTGCATTACTTTGCACAGCAGAAATCACGCAGCAGGCAAGTTAGCTGGCAGTATAGCATTTAAGCAACAAACTATAACGGTATTTAGGACCGGTATCGCTGACAACTTACTAGTCCTGTTGATAATGGGCGGTGGGAAATGTTCACCAATGATCATTTTACGTGGAAAAGAATGCAAACAGGATCGCCCGGAGTATGGAAAAATTCTGGTTCCAGACCAGAAACGGGCTGTCGACGGCATGTTTGAGATGTCCCCTCAGGCGTAAAAAAGCTAGTGATTGGTAGGATATGATCGGTGAAAAACTGACACTTTTGAGAGCCAATCGGTGACAAAATTGCGAAAATGAAAATAAATTTCAACAGATCAGACCATATTACAACAGATTATCTCAGCTAGATGAAACTCGAAGGTCAGTATTGGTCTGTACTCGCTGACGCTCGCAGCGTGAGCATGTGTAGAGCACATGTCGAAGCCCTGGCGTTTCTCTGTATGAGCAAGTTGAGCCATAAGATATATTTTATCAAATATATTCTAGCAGGTGACAGAACATACTACAAACTATACTACACCTGTGCTGACATCATAGGTCAGTGGTGATAGTGATTTTCCAATCCCACTCAGATCAGTGCTCCTCACAGATTTTCATCCAAGGATTCACTGCACATACTTAACAGTACAAAATGCGAAATAACTTGGCTTGTTGCTAGTCGTAAGAATTATGGCTGCCCACAACATCGACAGATGGCTCGAGTGCTCGCCACGCGAAAATAAGTTGGGTTCAGCGCAAGGCTGTGGGCCGCTGTTGGTTGTGTTCATGATGTGAGAAGCTGACTGGCTAGAAGAACTCAGCTAATCGACATTTTTAAGGGTAATGACGTTAAAAAGCCCCGCCGATCTAGGAGGATTGTTGTTTGTGGATACCTGTGCCGTATATTCAGATGTAAACGGAGGTCGTTGGAGTGATACATGCCAAGGATCTATCCAGGGCTTCCTGCTGCCGAGAGGAACAACGGCTTTGAGGTAAGAGGCCGAACATCGCTGGTGTAAACCTCTCACATTGCTTGTTGCACCTCAAACTTGGCGTATTGATCGGTGGACAAGCGTGAGACAAAACGCTTTAAGTTGTTCTCATATTGCATATAAAACCAACCGAAGATGCTACACGTGTCCAAAAATGTTGTTGGCACCAGTACATGAGTTCTGCTCTAAACAAATGGAATCATGTTCGGAAGTGCGAGTTCTGCACCGAAAGCGATTATGCGAAGTTAGTTAAGGTCTCCAACGCTGCCAGCTGATTGCACCATGACGTCACAAAACCCAAAGTGTAATTACTTCAGGTGCTTATTTACCATGCTACATTTACCATGCTATCGGTAGATGTAGGGCTACAGGTTTGCAGTTTTGCAAAATTATTTTGGGGTGAGGGAAGGAAGGGGAGGGTGGTGCAGGAAGAAAACTGTCTGTGCCTGTCTCCAAAATACACTTATAACAGTTTCTCCCCTGATTTGACGTATTTTCTTTTCACAATTGAGAGTATAGGTGTAGTTTCTCAAAATGTTTTTTTTTGCTGCCCCCAAATTGTGATAAAGGAAAACTAATGGATAAAAACGGTAACTAAAATTAGGAAACTCATCCCAAGTCAGGAGGCCTTCTCCCAACTGACTAGGAATTTACACGCCTTTAGGCTGGTTATGTTAAGCATGCCTTTATCTGATAATTTTATTACGTCATTCTCAACAATCGTTCAGTGTTTGATGGCCAGCAAATGACACTTTAATGCAAGCGAACTCCCCAAACGAAACCGTTAGATGGGTATGCCACCTTGCATTTAATTTGTCTATATTTTTGTGGTTTATTACATTAAAAGATACATTGCAACAGTTTCTGAAGGATTTGACAGTTTAGATGGTTCCAAATTTCGACGGTAACAGAAAGGGCAGCTTTTTCACCCCTGTGTCCTCTTTTTCACGAAATGCAGACGTGCGCACCCAGTGCCAACTAATTTAGCATGCGCCAGCATGTCGCTGGAATTGTCTTGACTTTCGCCAGAATCGTTTCCTTCGAGCCCGGAAAAGGTCTGGCCTGTTCTGCTGGCGGTTTGCTTTAGAATACCCGATGAGACAAAACAAGCCGGTGAACCTAGTATGGAAAACATGGCAACCACTCCCATCAAAGATCAAAGGAACGGCTCACAACCTTTTTCATATGACACGTCTCACAAGCCACTTTAGAACCCCTGGACTGTATGAGCCGGTGCTTCACCTCGCTTTCACGGCTGCTTGTTTCCCTTTCTACGCCCATTTTGCGTTCGAGAGCAACAAAGATTCTGTCAGCACCTGAATGCATCGCGAAATACTTAACGCTACGTGCGTAAGATGTGCGCAATAGCTGAAAATATCTGCTATTAGCCTGCCACGAAGTTAACTGGCACACGAACGATAAGTCCTGTACGGCAATGCTGTGAGAACTGATATTGGCGTGCGGAACTGTTGACCTATCGTGTTATCCTAAGGCGCCCTCTTAACTCACAGAGCAAACTAAGCAAAGTGCGCTGGTTTAAGCCGGTGCTTTATCTGGATCTACCACGGACAAGCCGCAGCAGGCCGCGTTGTGCACGCCTCTCGACGGTAAGCACACTGTCCGGTTCTCGGAAGCTGATGCTGCAATCCGACAAAGACCGCTGATTGCTTCTGCTTGACTCCGCGGCTGTCGCGGCCTCACCGGCCCTGCAGCTGCCGACGTCTAGCCGTGGGAGTTGCACAACAGCCGCCACCGATCGCGCAGCGAGACATCGCGGCCGGCGGTCCCGTGTGATTAGCCCCGGGCGGGGTCGGCGGAGGGGGGGGGGGGGGGGCGACGCTCCCGACGCCGCGCGGCCCGGCAGCAGTCCGACGGCAGCTTCCGGCGCGGGAGGGCGCGTCGGTGTCGGTCGAGGGGGCGCGGAGGCGACGCGAGCGGCGCTGGGCAGAGTGCACGAGCCGGGTCGGACGCGCGGCGGCACGCCCGTCGCCTGGACGCCCCGGAGCGGAGCCGAGTGAAGCGCGTCGGCGGCGACGCTGCGGACACGGCGTGAGTGCGTGTGCGTCGTGATCGCCGGGCGGCGCTGGCACGGAATGCCACGGCGCGTCCCAGTCATCCGAGCCTATTATTGTTTGGCGCCGCGAGCGCTGTGTTTACCTAGGCGGCAAATATTTTGCCAATCTTTCTAAAATAGAGCCGGAAAGGTCGGTCGGCTTACCTGCAGCGCGCGAGCGGCAGTTTTTGCACGTGCGACCGAATTTGTAAACACTTGGACCGGCAGTTGGGGATCTGGAGACCGCGACCGAGCGACACCTGGACCGGCAGTTGAGGATCTAGAGACCGCGACCGCGCGCGATCGGACCAGTGCGGGGTCGCGCGATGGCCCCATAAGTGACGCAAGCCCGGGGTGCTCGACTGGTGGACCAGCGCAACTTGTAAGCGATTAATAGTGCCGGACTAAAGCGAATAGTGCGTGTGCAGAGTTTGACGGTGGAGTTGGGGCCTGAGGGAAGGATCAGCTGGCTTGGAGAGGCCCAGGTCTGACGCGACTCCCCGAGTCACCAGCGTGCTTCGACCGAGCGGGCGCCTGGCCCGTGACCCGGTCGACAGTGGGCCGACAGCAGTGTCGGCGACATGGCGGCGTCGGGCGGCGCCGAGCCGCGCCGCGTGCCCTCGCCTCCGGCGGGACTGCCGGTGGTGTACGAGCGTGACCCGACGCTGCACGACTGCACAGTGCTGCTGCAGAACTACGTGCAGGCGCAGCAGCAGCAGATCGCCATCCTAGAGCAGAGTCTGGCCGACATGGCCCGGAACTTTGGCACCCGCGAGCAGGCGCTGCTTGGGCAGATCAGCACGCTCACCCAGCAACTCAACAGGGTGCTGGCCGACAAGGTAGGTCAGGTCAGGTCACGGAGACCCGACCCTGTGCGGGAAGGACGCTGGCCGACAAACCGGTCAGTCATGTGGCTTGTGATTTGGGTGGTTTGTTGAGGCCTGCAATGACTGGTTATTAACCTATTGATGCAAACCACGGCTTGACGATAGGGTTAGCCGCATGTGGGGCCTTAATCAAAGGTATTTCAAAAATCCGAGCCTCAGCGAGGGTGCAGGAACCGGGCGGAGGGGAGAGGGGGAGGCAGGCACAGCAGTCCCTCAGCACCGGGCATTTCTCTCCAGTTCTGGGCTCAAATTAAATACTAGCCTTATAGTGTTGCACAGCAAAATCAGATATTTCAAAAGCGTGCCGGCTCACCCGGCCCCAAACGTTGGACGTGATGGGGAAGTAGCTCATGGTGTGGATTTAAGATTGCTTGATGCTACAAGCTATGAGATAGCTGCCAATCCAAAAGCAAGCCCATAAATCACTTCAGTGGTCGGCTCAATATCTAGACGGAAATATCGCGACCTTCGTGCCATATCACGTGAAGGAGAGGTAGAAGCTTTTCGTCCGTTGAGTTTGTCGCAAGGAATGCTATACGACCTGCGCGTCAAGTGGTTTGCGCTGAAGGCACTACGGCTCACTTTGCACCCGCCACGGTATTGTTGCGTTATGAGGGCCGCGGCAGTTGCGCGTCGGCCGTACCGCGGAGTCCGTGTCCTCCATGTCATCAAAGTTCATGTCTGCGCTCTACGCGGTAGCATGGAACAAAACACGACGCGTGAGTCGCTCATCCAATTCAGGGGCTCAACGGCCACCAGAGAAAATGGCTTGCTTTCAGACCACTTGGGCTGTAAATATGAGCAGTAGGCTTTTTGACTGCTGAATTCTTCTGGCGACACTACTTGGGCGCATAATCTCAAGATGCGAACCAATCACGCTAAATGAATCTAGAGTGTGGCTTGCCCCAAAATACGTGCATCCAAAATATTGCGTCAGATAATTGCCCATTTTGCGCAAGCGTTATTCCACAGGAACCTTATTTGGTACCAAAGCTAAAATGCGCGAAGAATAGGATGAGCGGTAGGAAGCTCATGGGTTGTCATCAGATATATCAAAATGGTTATGAATTTCCCCTTCGGCTTCGGAAGCGTATTTTTTATTTCAGCACCATATGGTCCCAGGGGCCCAAACACACAAACACGCAAACACGCAAACACGCAAAATCACGGGTCGATGTACGATGACGAAACAATTAAGCCCCTATAGAAATATGTACTGACGTTTTTGATAAGCCTTATAGGCAAATAAGTGTTGTCCCCCCCCCCCTCTGTTGCTTATGCCATTTTCCGTATATCTCAGCATTAGATGCCTCTGGGATGCGGCAGGGCCACATTACGTGCCAGCCGAATACATGCTAGTATGAATGGAGCTCATGGGTCACTTCTCCGCAGTAAGCCGAGCGCTTCGCTCGACCATGTGTACCCGCCATATGTATCCTTGACGTCTGTTATCTGCAGCACGCTCAACATGTTCACGCCCTAGCGACATGAGCCACCATGCCTGTGCGCCTGTCAAGGGATAACCGTCTGATTTACGACTCGCTGATTAGCAACGCAAACAGATGACTCTTCGCTTTGAACTGCCGGCCGGGACGTTCTCATTGAAGTGACAGCCCACCTTGGTGCCAGAGTGCGACAATGAACGCAGCTTTAAGTTTCAAATGCGCCGATGTATTTTGTAATCAGACTTGAGACACCGCGCTGGGATATTCCAGGTGCCTGCATCACATATCCGAATCTGTTATGTCAAAACGTCTGCGTTCTAAATCTTGTGTCGAAAAGCCTCAGGTGAGCGGACCGTTTTTCAAAGCGAGCCAGTGCACAGACATAGAGCATACAAGTGCAATGTGGGACCCATCGTCTAAAGCCCGGCAGCATGCCACGCCCTGTAATCAGTACCTGGATAGAAACGGATGACCTTTGAGCCCTGCAGAACTTTTAATTACTGGGCTTGTATCGACGCAAGTAGCTGCTAAGGTCACTAACGTCGCAACACTGGTGACGCCGAGGTCTGTGAGAGTTGCACCCGACAGAAATCAAACCGATGCTTTCGCTAGCACCCTTATGTCGTAACCATGCACATGGTTACGATGTGCTGCATGCGCCCACTCGGTATAGCATAGGCGATACCCTGATGGCCAGGGTTCCAGCAGTTCATGCGTTTTCCTTATCCCAAGTGCGGCCAAAACTGCAACCCTTAAGACTTCACCCACAGCACCGAGGTCCAACTATGCGTATAATGAATGCATCACAGATCATCACAGCGGGTCGCGGCGTTGTTTTGAAAAAATTGTCCATGTCTGTGCTATCATTTTCTTCCTTGGGCTTACTGAAAACAAGCTCAGTAACATGGGTCTATAACAGCCAGAGCTGCCCTCACCACAGCCTCTCGTTACAAGCGAGTTCATCCCTGCGTGTCCGGCCGCCACAGTCCGGCGTTCACTTCCGCACGCGTGCTAAAATCCAAGCGCCGGATGCTGCGTTGCAAGGTTTATTTTCGTCCCGCCGTTTACAACTGCCCACGGTAATTGCCCGAGCCTGGAGCGCAGCTCAGCGGTTCAAGCCTGACGTCAGGAGGTTGGGAGTCTGGCGGTGTGGCGGTCAGAGCTGCCTCCACCTGTCATCGCTGTGGGCTTTCAGCCTGGCGCGTCTCTCGACGCTTTTGACGGGCGAGGCTGTGAGCTGTTTTGACGGAAGCTCCGCTCACCGACGCCAGCGGGCGCGTCCAAGCGGGACGCCGGAACACGTCCGGACTCAGCCTCAGAAGTTGGCCGCGTCTCGGTCGACCGCGTCGGCGCCGACGCGGTCGTCGACGCCGTCGCGACGCGGCGACTGCGGAGATGGAGTACGACGGGCCGACGTCGCCGACTGTCGCTCAAGGAATTCTCCGCCTTCACCGCCGCGCCCTCGCCGCGGCGGAGTCCGGGCGACCGGTCTGTCCACGCCGCGTGCGCGCCCCCTCCCCGCCGCCCGCCGCCGGTGGCGTCCTCCTCGGACCGCCGGCGTGGGGGCGGACGCGGCGGGGCTGGCCGGTCTCACTCGCCACGGACCCTGTCGTCGGCACGCGCTGAGCGGCGATGCGCCGACACTGAGCAAACAACAGCTGACGGCCCTCCCCGGCTGCCTGCGTTGATCCGCGCCCGGCGACGACGGCGGTGCGTGCGGCGGCGCGCGGGAGCGCCCGCGGCCGGCGCCGTCGCTGTCACGCCTGGGAATGGGCGTGTCCTGCGCGGTGAAGGGCGAATTGGGGTCAGGGAAGACAGAGGCTGTTAACTTACGAGGCTGGGTAAGTTATTGGTCGGTAACGTCGCAAAAGCTTGCACTGGTTGGTGCGATTTCTGGCCGCCATCCACTGTGGAGCTGTTTATGGCTCATGTTTTACTAATGGGCTAACTCCGCGGGGTAGCAAATTTCGTCGACCGGTTGGAAAATATCGTGTTGACATCGTGTGCGTTGAAGCTGTGGTCCAGATTATCACGGCTTGTTCACATAATACGATTTGCCTTTGGTATTCCCACACGTGGTTTTACCTAATCCTAAAGCAGCCCAATCAGGTCGTTTGGTGAAATGGACCGCAATAGCCTTTGAGAGCGCGTGCTAAGGGACCCAGTGGGTCGCTGCTATGGCCGCGGTGGCGTGCAACTCTTTATCATGTTTTTAGCAACCGGAAGGGGCGTGGGGCGCTCTCATTAAACACCATTTTTGTATACATTCATTGCATATCGCCTAGAAGAGTGCGGTTTTATAACACAACTTCCGTAAATTGTGAGAATCGTAGCTTGACTGCAAATGGTAAGAAAGGGTCAAAAGAACACTTGGCAACAACGTCGACACTTGCTTGGTTTGAAGATGTGATCGCGTTCACTGTTTTCTTGTTCGATAGCAGGGCTTGAGAATTCCACAGTGGATACGAATGACCTTGGTAATTATACCTAACTCGGGGCATTGATCAACGCATTCAAAGATATCATAAAACAGGCTTTATATATCTCACACAAATTCCCGTGGCGAACGACGGAATTGTTGGTCGACGCCCAATTTGAATCCAGCCTGCCACTCGTCGCGACGTCAGGGGAATATCCTCTCTACTGAGCTACGCTTTTCCGAAAAGTGCCTCAATTCGGCGTGGTGTCGAGAGTCTCGATTAGTATGGGCGCCTTCTTAAAATGCCCTTTGAGCTCATTGTTCTAAAAATTGCTTAAATGAATAATCAGTGCATTGGAACTCTGTAATGATGCCACTATATTCTTCGAACGTAAAGTAAGCTATATAACATGAATACGTTTGCCTCACATGTTTGCGTTTCATATACTTTCTTAAGAGCCTCAATGTCTGTTGCTGGCCTCAACGTCTCAACATCCTCAATCAAGTCTTTTGATGTCATTATGTGACGGTTCCAGTCTCAGCCTCAGTTAGTTCCAGCCCCTAAAGGTCTTATTGCTGCCCGGAGAGCGCCTCTCTTCTCCTGAAAGTTCATTTCATCGTCCACACGGCCTCACTAGCCGAGTCCAGGCTCCACTACCCCGGTGTCTGGAGGTCTTTGGACTGGCTCATGCTTCTGGATATTGCTTTCTTCCCTGCCTCACTTTTGAGGGTGTCCGCCCATAGCGTGCTGCTTTGGTTGGCTCATAGCTCTCTTCGGGCCTTTTCATTTTTCTCTTTCTCCTCCACGGACACTGGACGGTGCAGAAGATAGGAAAGCTATAAAGTTGAAGGGATAAGTTACATATTAGCGAGCATTTCTGACGGGTTAGCTGACCTTTGCATTCTTTAGGGCACTGAAAATGAACTTTCATATTTCACTGATATTTTTCCGAAACCCCTGCGCGAGGCTCTCACTTCGCGCATGCGGGTAATTGTCTTGCAAATTTTCCGGAACCAGACGACGACGATGACCAGAAAACCATCAGAAGAGAAGCCTGCTTCTCGGGATAACCGAGAAAACCGGGGCC